CTAAGGAAAGAAAATAGGAAAAGAGGGCAGGCCTTTTATGCAGTGTTTGACTGATTACTTTGTGGAATTTCAGCTCCCTGATGGGAACATGGTTTATGATTATGAGTGGGATTTCACTGGCAAAGAGGGCAAATTCTTTCAGCTTGTGTTGGCTCTGGTAATTTGGAGCAAAATGACAAGACCAAAATCAGTCATCAGCTCTTCAACAGACAGTGAAAAAGCTTTGCTGCGGCTATCAGCCAAGTGAGGTATCTGCAGCCCATATTTACAATATTTGGGTTTGCTTCTTTTAGCCATGAATAACACAGAGTTGTGTTTCCCAGTCATAGAGCCATAGATTCTGATGAGAAAGATAAAAGGGTTATAGATGGGTATGCTAAACTTCCGAAGTGTTCCCATTAGATAGTCAGATGTGCCCGTTCATGTTCCTGACTTACAGTGTATCATGTCTAGGAAATAAAGGACATTGAAGCCTTTGTTTTCATACAAGAATCCCACAAGGATAACCAGCAGGGTCTCATGTCCCAGGTCTGTATTCTGATCCATACACACACCAAAAGAGACATTGTGACCAACAGCCACCACATCACTTTGGTACCACACTCCAATCTTATCCCTTGCAGTGGGGATATCCTTTGTTGCTCCATATGTCATCTTCTTGAGAACATCTGCATCCACGCAGTATTTCTTTATGAACTTCACCAGTCGTTCTCCAGCTGTAAATGCCATATTCTATTCACCTAACATGGAAACAAAACCATTCTGCCTCCAAGACATTTATGTTCACTTGGTTTGGTGATGAAAAATCTGATACTGTCACCTGCTTGTCATTTTGACAGTGCTTCTCCGAATTGACATGGGGTTGACACCTAATGGCTTTCTCCATGATTAATGGTAAAATCACCATTAAATCTCATATAGAAAGTATATCCTTGCCTTGTCTGCTCTCTGTCACCACTCAAAAGTGCTTTTCCAGGTTTGTGGATAAGTAACACACCTCCTCTCTTTTCTCTGGTGACTTATCACTGGTTGAAAATCTGGGCTTCCTCTTCCAGCATTTTACAATCTTCAGATTTCACTCTAAAGCAAAAAGAAATATGTACTGGAACAATAACCCAGCAGCTGTATCAGGTATCCACCCAAAGCAATTCAAGGTACTGCCTCAAACTGCCTCCATTGGGTGGGGGGCACTTCAGGCCCTCTCCACTGGGGGATCCCAGCCAACCCCCAAATGGGTTCCCCAGATGAGGCTTGAGTTTCCTCTCAGTTGAACAAGAAAGGACCTCACATTGGAGATGACAGGAATGTTTCTCACATGCTGGCAGGGATGGCTGAGTGGCTCCTTCTCTTCCAGTCAGTGGTGTCCTCTTCAGCCTCTGGTAGGTCCAGTTAGCACCAGGGTCTTGTTCTCTTCCTTCTCCAGTCATTCTGGCTGATGGCAGGATCTTCTTCCTGGACTGTCTGGACATCAGCAATGGAATGCAGGATCTCCTTTCTTCCTTAGCTGGCAGGCTCAGTCGGCAGTGGTGGATGACAACAGGTGTTGATGCAGCGCTATAGAGGGACTGAAATCTGATACTCTTAACAGCAATGGTTCTCTGACTGAATTACTAATGTGACTAACCACCACAGTGCAAAATATGAATATTTACAACAAATGCTTTGCCACCAATCACAGACCAAGATTTATTCACTAATAATTGTGAATAAAAAATAAATCCAAGAATTTTGCAGTCTAGTCACAGACCATTTATGAGGTGAATAAAATACAACATTCATTTAACATATTCTGAGGGCTGGTCTATACTTACCGGGTAGTTCGACGGCTGGCAATCGAAGTTCCAGGTTCGATTTATCGCGTCTGGTCTGGACGCGATAAATCGAACCAGGAAGTGCTCGCCGTCGACTGCGGTACTCCAGCTCAATGAAAGGAGTACCGCGGAGTCGACGGGGGAGCCTGCCTGCCGCGTGTGGACCGCGTCTGAACCGTGGTAAGTTCGAAGTAAGGTATGTCGACTTCAGCTACGTTATTCACGTAGCTGAAGTTGCGTACCTTACTTCGACTTGGGGGGTTAGTGTAGACCAGGCCCTAGTTGTAAGAGGAAGGAAGGTCCAGTTGTTAGGGTACTGACCTAGGACTTTGAACACCCACGTTCACTTCCCTGCTCTGACACAGGTGTCCTCTGTGCTCTTGGCCAAGTCACCAGATCCTCAAAGATAGTAGAAGTTAGGTGCCGATGTACTTTTGAGGATTTGGGCTTTAGCCTCTTTGTGCCTCATATCCCCATCTGTAAAATGGGGATAATAGCACTGTTGTACCTCACTTGATCTCATGTTTGTACATTACAAACATTTGTACGCTGTCATCATGAATGTGTATTCCTCCCCTACCTTTGTTGTCTCTGAGCTGACTTACACATGGCTAGCCCTCTTAATCTTTCCTCATTGATAATTTCCTCTGGATCCCTGATTTTTGTTACTTGTCTCTGAATTCCCTTCAGTGTCTCTCTCCTTCTGGTAATGTGGCGCCCAGAAATAAACATCAAATTCCAGGTGCGGTGGCACCAGTCATATAAAGCCCAGTTCTGCCACCCCTAGAGTCAGAAGAACCTTACTCCACAAAGGGTCCCATTGGCTTCAATGGGCAGAGAGACTATGGCTTCCCTGCTTCATTATATGATGTCTTTGCATGTGCAGCCAAGGTTTCTACTGGCCGTTTTGGAAAATCATGTCCAATTTGCTGTCAGCTAGCACCTCTACTTTTCATTCAGCGTTATTGCTTTCCAGAATTCTCCCTCCCGTTGTCCACAAATGCTACTATGGATTACTTTTCTCCAGATGCGCTAGGATCAAATCCTTTATTATTTTCTGCCCATGTTTCCTGCCCATCTGTCCTGACTAGTGTTTGCAACTTCTTCCAATTTAGTATCCTTCAGAAACTTCATTATATGCTGTTTATTTCCGCTTTCAGATCATGAATGAAGATGCTAATCTGGCCAGAGTTAACACAGTATCCCACTAGAAATCTCCACTCCCACCGTGGCGTTGTATATCTTCACACTTATAAAGATTCCATTACCTGTTCTCTATCAGAAGTTATTTTTACTGGGTCTTCTTTCCATATTCATTGTTCAAACTTCTTGCCATACGATTTTCATTTAAGACAGATTTTCAAAAGAAAGTTCAGTATCTCAGCAATTTCTGAGTCATGATTAACTTCATCCCTCTCTTCAGGAAGGTTGCTCAGTTCAGTAAAGCTCTTAAATGCAGGCTGAACTTTAAGCATGTGTTTAAGTCACACAAAAGTCAATAGGATTTAAGCAGGCGATTAAAGGTAAACATTTGCTTAAGTGCTTTGCTGAATAAGGATGCTTGGTCAAATTAGGGCCTAATGAGCCTATTTTCTCCCTAGTACTTTTCCCTAATACATTTGTAGAACCCGTTCCTTCTTACTCTTAACCCTTCTGACTAGCATTAACTCCTTTTGATTTTTTGCTGCCCTTTCCTCCCCAGTACCCTTACATGACTGTGTATTCTTTTTTGATTTGCTCCCTCTTTTTCCATTTCCAGCCAAACTAATCTAACCCCAGGCTTTTGAGCAGTCATTCATGAAGCCACATTGGCCACTCCTTATCTATCATACTCTGACATTGCACAGGCATAAATAACTACACCAGGTGCAAGGTAACGGAGATCATCTGTCCTCCCTCCCAAGCTTTCTCTTCCATCTCTCTTCTTTAATACTGTTGACATCAGCAGCAGCCTTCCCATTATCAAGGCTCACAGCCTTGGAGTCATCTTCATTCCCCATCAGCAGTCCAGTATCATAGTGATGGGACATGTTAGAAAGTGGTAGATAAATGAGATCAGATAGACTGGACAGACTCTTCTCTCTCCTCTGACCAGGATCTCATCAAAACCTGCCATGACTTCTTGTGCACCCAGCTAAAATTCCTCCCTTCCTCTTTCCCAAACTGATAAGACAATCACCTATGCCCTAGTTAGTGCTCTCATGGATTACTGCAACCTCCTTCTGTTTGACCTCCCATCTCTTCCTGCTTTAATCCATTCAAAATGCTGCCAGCAGAACAAGTTTTTTCAGCCATTTTTATCATATCTCTCTTCTTGATACCCTTTCTTGGGTTCCTGTTTACTTCCACATCAAAGTTATGCTTTTCCTCTTCCCCTTCAGCCCTTGCCTATATTACCCCCACCCCTTCTTCCTCCCTCTCTTCCGCCTGAGCTTCATTTAAAATTGTTAGAAGGTTCCCATTTTCTGCCATTTTTTGTCCCACCCATATGTCTGGAACAGCTTCCCAGCTAACATATCCAAAGCTCCCACACCCTTGAGGGAGCCAGTCACTGCTCTGCTTAAATTGGGTTTGGTCTGTGTTCTGCTGAGGTCTGTTTTATTTCTCTGGGATTGTTCTGTTTGTTTTGTTTTGTTCCAGCTTGTGTTCTTAGGGGTCCATTGTGACTTCAGATACCCCTCCAAGTCACAGTTCTTTCCCTACTCCCTGCTTGTGACTCAGGGCTTGTAATTTACTGCTGGCCTGTAGCAATAATAAATAACTTACACTCCCCCCCCCCCCCCATGCTGGCTCAGCTTCTCTGGCAAACAGGTAAGGGGTGGAACCTAGGCTCCACTCATGCTCCCATCCAATCCACCACCACTCCTTGTTCATCTGCTCTGCTTACTCCTTTGTGCCCAGACCCAAAGCCCAGGTAGCCCCAGTAGGGATGTAAGCAGCGGTTCTTACTCGCTCTCAGGCCTTTTTGTGGGCATGTCAGCCAAGTCACCATCTGGCCTTTTGGGGCAGGGAACTTGGTATTGGTCTGGCACAGTCCTAGTGTTATGCAGAATTACGTACATCTCTGGCGCTACATACATAAAATAAAATAACAATAACAACGATAAATAATGGGTCAGCTCCTGAAATCTTCCCTCTCTTTTCACTCAGGTAAACTTCCATTGAGTCCTGCCTGAGTCAAAACTAACTAAAAACTGAGTGAGGATGTCAGGACTTGGCTGGCTAATAATTTATAAACTATCTGGATCTCAGAACACCATTTGGAAAAGTGCCTTGTGAAGTCTTGCTTGGAAAGTGAATTCATATTAGCTTGGAGCTGGGCATGTCACATGAATGGAAAACTGGCTGTGGGACCCTATTCCAAGGCTAATGATGGTAAAGAGCAGTGCACTGAATTAGAAGAGATGTGCGGCAGGGATCAGTGTTAGGGCCATGCAGTTTGGAGCTGCATATAAAGAGACATCATATAATTGAGGAAAGAGGTAACAGTCTCTCATTACAGGACACTGGTGAGACCACACCGACTGCACAGTAGTATTCAGTGAGTGTCTCACTGCTAAACAAATGTAAACATACAGGAGGGGATTCAATGGAAAACAAGTTGGGGAGGGGGGTTGTTTGAGATCTATGTAAAGTAACTTTATGACTAGAGTTTAACCTTTAAAACATTGAGGATTAGTATATTTGCTCTTCAACCCACCCTCTCCCCCACTAATAGGTGCTTCAGCCCTCTGCCAGCAGCTGATCCATCCCTGTGCTCTAACGCAACAGCCCCAATTCTTTCCAGCTTCCAGACCCTCCCACAAAAACCCCTTCCAAAGGGCTTCAGCTCAACCCCCTTCCCCACTGCTGGTTTCCTCCCCCAACTTGTGTGCCACGCCCAGGACTCCCTATTGCTGCCAGGTCTGCCTCCCAACTAGTTCCGTCCCCATGCGCTCGTGTCCAGCCCAAATGCAAGCTGAGAACCAACCCTGGGAGGGTGGGTATTTGAGGAGTGCTTGTCTGCAGTCAGGGAGGGCAGTTGGCAGTGGGGCAGCGGAGAAAATCTGTCTGTGGACTCCCCACCGTGGGAAATCTGTTCTGCACCCCCAGGGGACCCACCTGTAAATCCCTTCAAACAGCAAATTCACAGGTCTTTTTTACCTGGGAACTAATGAGGGCTAAAGAATCGTTGTGGCATTCATGCTATCTGGCCATTTCAATAGCACTTTTCAGCATCCAAAAGGGAGTTCCAGCTGTATAGCCAGAGATCACTTGGCCACCAGTGGAATGTAACCATTGCTGGGATGAAAGGCAACAGCTGTTCGTCGTCTCACAACAAAACATGCCAGCCATTTAGGACAAGTCGCAAAGAAGAGCACAATATCCAGCTGAAACCACAGGGCAGATTTTAGAGAGGCAGCGTGTATTGGGCACCTTCCCTGTTAGATCATGAACCAGAGAAGGGTGAGCAGATCAGCTCCTTTTCTCTTGGACTATCACCTATCTTCACTTGCTTCTCCTCTTCCCCACTCCCCTGGCTTCTGTTCTCCCTGGGCATGTGGAGTGTCTTCCTCCCTCCCCCTGGGGGAAGTCACTGTTCTTCCCTCTCAAATAATCCTCTCTTATGGCTTCTCCTCCCCTCCTTTTGGCCTCACCTTTCCTCGGAAGAGTTCCGCTGCTTCCCGGTACCTGTGCACTCGCTCCATATGCTCCTGGGACGTCTTGTCTGTGAAGAGGAGGAGGTGGGTCTGGACTGTACTGTTGAACAGACCTATTGCCGTCTGCCAAAGACAAACATGACACCAACAAACAGACACGGCGATTAGGAATAGTAAATCTGCTGCATTATTGGAGTCCTAAATCCCAATGGCACAGCTGAATTCTCTACAAATCACAGCTCAGGCCATGTTCTCAGATTGAAGTCAAACTCTGGAGGAACTGAAGCTGGGTCCCTGAAGGCTCCTAAAGTCATGGTTTGGGGGACACCCGAGCCAGGGGTCTGAAGGCCCTGAGGCTGAGGCTTGGAGGGAAGACAGGATGTTCAGGGAGAAGGCAGGGAGACAGAGTCTGGGGTCAGCAAGCTGAAGCCCAGAGGGGCAAGACTCTGGAATTGGGAGCTCTTGAGGTGCCTGGGTAACAGGGACCACAGGGAACTAGCGGTTGCAGGGGACTCGGGACTGGGATCTGGAGGGGATGGGAGCAAGGAAGTTGGGGAGTTCATGGAGTTAACCAGGAAGGCTTCTCCGGCACCTTGTTTCCTTTCTTTAACATTAGCTGTGAGTGGTGGGGATGCATCTTAAAATAGAAACTGTTGACTAAGCAACGTGTGAGCTGGGCAGGTGGGAGTGCAGAGGGTTAAGTCTCCATCTGCAGCTCTTCAGGAAGAAATGGGTTGGACACAACCCACCCCCCAGGGAAGGGGGAAAGCAGGCAGCACACACTGGCCCTCTGTGAAGACACTCTGGGCTGGCACTGCCAATGGTGTTTTTGCACAGTCTCCGGTTGGTGGGCAAATTGTCCTCTGACTTTTCCCCCCACCCACTTCCTGAAGTGCAGCAGCCGCTCCCTCAAACCAAACAGAAGTCTGGCCAGGCTGCCTCTGACCCGCTGCCTCCCCATGTGCCACTCCAGACCACAGAGGCAGCCTGTGGTAATGCCTGCCAGCATTTCTATGAAGGAGAGGAAAGAGTGAGCCAACTAACAGGGATGGGGTCAGGGAGTGCATTTCTGTAACAGCCTTCCATCAGGGAGCACCAGGTCTCAGGTAGTGTGGGAGGGCCTAAGTACCAGGAGTTTCACCTTAGCCTAATTGCTAGTGGACTTTCATCCACCCCCGTAACACCCCTGCATAATGTGGCTTGGGGGTGGGAGCGGTCAGGACTGGAATAGCAGGGGGCTGCAAGTCAAGAGTGAGGAGTGCTGGAAGACCCTGTGGGAATGGACAGGCCTGGAGAAGCAGGTGGTGAGGTGAGTCAGGACTGAGGTGCATTGGAAGTGCTGCTTGAGAGGGCACAGGCCTGGGAAAGCAGGAGGTGTTGCAGCAAGTCAGGCGTCTGGGGGAAGCTGTGAGGGTCCAAAGAATGGAAGGTAGGGAGTTCTGCAGGGCTTGCTTTGACCCACGTGGCCTAATATTGCTGGGGCCTATAATATACTTAAAAGAAACTAGTTTATTTAAACATTTGTGAGCCTAGAATAAATATCAAACTAAAGAAAGGCAAGTATATTAGCAGAGCTGGGTGGGTCCCAGGACTGGGCCAGCAGGAGGCCGGCCAGGTCAGGACTGTGGTGCACAGCTAGAGCTGTGCTGTGGCCTAATGAATGAAACAACATGGGTGCTCCAAGTCAGACTTGAGATGGGTGAGCTAAGTAGTTTGAGAGGGGAAGGCAGGAAGAGGGGCTGGGGATTGAATCGAAGGAATAATGCTGCCGGTCAGGACTGAAGTGCTTTTGCAGAGCTGTGAGATGGAGGGCAGGACTCAAATAATAGATAATTAGCTGGCAGAACTCACCACCACAGGATACCTTTGAGGCCAAGAGCTTAGTAGGATTCAAAAAAGGGCTCGACATTTATATGGATAATGAGAATATCCACAGCTACATTAGATTGTATGTGGATGTTTGACAAGGGATAGAAGCCTTCATGCTTCAGGGCTTAAGCCAGTGGTTCTCAGACTTTTGTACTACTGACCTCTTTCACATAGCAAGTCTCTGAGTTCAACCCCCCTGATACATTAAAAACACTTTTCTATATATTTAACACCATTATAAATGTTGGAGGTAAAGCGGGGTTTGGGGTGGAGGTTGACAGCTCACAACCCCCCACGTAATAACCTCACAACCCCCTGAGGGGTCCCGACCCTCAGTTTGAGAACCCCTGGCTTAAGCCAACTACTAATAGATCAGGGTTAGGAAGAAATTTCCCCCATGGGAAATCCTCTGCAGGGTTTCTTGAGACTTCTCTGAAGCAGCTGTTACTGTCCACTTTTGGAGACAGCATACTGGTTTAGATGGACCACAGGTCTGATTCAGTCTGGTGATCCCTTTGCTCCTGTGAACAGAAGGGGGCATTGCCCATCAGGAATGAGAGGCAGTGGTAGAGGTGTGTGCACAGACACCTGCATGGCTTCTTGCTGCACTGTGCTCTTTGCCTACCAACAGTCGCTGCCAGGCAGGATCCTATCATCCCCCAAAATGAAAAACCAGCCAACTAGACAGAGCCTAAGAGAAGGCAGGGGTGGGGGAGGGGGTTATGGGGATCCTTAGTTACCACAGGGTTGTACTCTGTCACCATTCGCAGCTCATTGATCTGAATGAAACGGCTCATCTTGGTGGCATCAATTTTTTTGCCATCGGTGAGTTCCAAATCTTGACGTTTGTCGTCCACCTACGATGTTGCAAGGAAGCCTTAAATCACTGCTGTTCTCCATTCAGTACCCCTTCTCTGCCCTCTGTCCAGAGGCATGGGCAGACACACACAAATGCTCCAGTGCACATAGACACCTGTGGATGCCTTCACACACACACCTTTCACCATCTGAAACTCTCTTGGGGACCATTGGGCCTATAAATCTGCCATCTTGCTCTTTCTCCCAGTCTCTTCCTCAAGCTCCCCACGACAGGACAAACTCATGAAATAGCAGGAAACACTAAGGGTGCCAGACATCCCTGTATCGTCAACTCAAACTCCACTGGAGCCAGGGGGGATTAGCTGACAATCCTGGGCCTTCTGGGGAGACAGCATTAAACAAACCCAACTCCCTCCACCGCTCTCACCCTCTCCTTTAAAAAAAGTTCATCTGCTTATTTCAGTCTTTCTAAAAGTAATAAACACTGGCACAGGCCTGTGTGGATTTCCTGGAAACATTGTGCAAGCAGGAAATCTCTCCAATAAAGAGAGGAATTTTTCCAGTACAGCTGAGATAAAATCAGGCCTTGCAAAGACCATCTTTAGGGAACAATCCCATCCCATTCCTCCTTTCCTCCCCCTCATCAGTATCTGGAAGCTGTTTTATTGAGAGTCTCTTCTGCTCTCTTCCCCATAAACAGGGAGAAAGGGAAAACATCAAACAACAGCTAACCCCCAAAGTATAACAGCTACACATGCAGTTACATTACAGGAGACGGCTAGATCAAGGGATTGGGCTGTTGAGCTATAGTACAGTAGAGTACAGCTGATTCCTTTGGGATTTAATTGCCTTTTCCAAACATGCTGTGCTAGGCTCATGGAACTTGTGTCCACATAGATGTCCCATATTTTATTAAATATGTCTGCTCACCCTCTGAATGTATGTTAGCTTTTCCAGAGGTGCGCAGGCACGCAACCCTTTTTTCCATCCCATGGTCACTGTCACTGTATCTTTGATCCAATGTGGCCCTACGCTGCTTTAAGCCACTGAACTAGTTGCTCCTGAAATCATAGGGGATGATTCTTCTCTCACTTACACCGATGTAAATCAAGGGTAATGCCACTGAAATCAGTGGATTCCTACTAGTGCAATGCAAAACCAGTGCAAGCAAAATCAAACAGGCCCTTGGGGCTGATCCAAAGTCTATCAACACCAAAGGCAAAGGCTCTCATTTACTTCAATGGGCTTTGGATTGCAACCCATTGATTCCCATTCCTGAGAAATCATATTCAGATATACTCTTGGATTATGCAAAGGCTGCATCTCTAAAAAAAACAGTTTAGCTCAGACCCAAATGGCTCTGTCACACTCTACCTCAATTAATTATGTCCTTTTTCCGTTGATCAAGCCAGATCCTCAGCTGGCAAAGATCAGCATAGCTCTACTGACTTCAACAAAGCAACACCAATTTATACCAGCTGAGGATCTGGCCCAGGAGTATAGTCACTGTGGTTTAAATTTGGTACCCTTTATGGTGTTTCCGTGCTATGCAAAAATAAAGGAACATTATTTTATGTCTTTGATTAATTGCTGTCCTTTTGATTTGTCTGCCTGCCTTTCCATTCTTTCCTCCGATGAATATTTTATTCCAAGTTCCTGTTCCAATTGCTTTTTTAGGAAAGATCTTATCCTACTCCTACACACTTATTCAGAAAAAAAAATCTAATTTAAACTTATTTTTGTGAGAGGAAATTTTACAAGCAAATTGCCAGTCAAAATTAATTCTGGCTTGGGGATTCGATCTGTTGGGGTTTTTCTTCTTCTTCCATTAAATGATGTTTCAGTTGCAAAAGTGGAAGAAGTATGAATTGGGAAGATTGTATTTAATGTGAATTGTTTCAAATGTCATGCAATTTCCTCTATCCTCCCACCTTAATTATCCTTAATCTCTCCCACATTGCAAAAACAAAAGATCCTTAAATATCTTTGGAAGAAAATGATTATGACTAAGAGCCCATAGTAGAAATAAGTGTTGTTTCAGTTTGTAGCACCTGCTGACAGTAAATCCAGTGTCAACTGCTAGGTCTTATGTGATATTAACTCATTCTCTTTTACACAGAAGGGAGAGAGATCTAGCTACATTATATGAACTAGACTATCCATAAAATGCCTGAGCTCAGCTCAGGAAGTGATTAGAGCAGGCAGAGAAGACAAAGGTGGCTTGCACCATCTTTGCACCTCCTGAATTCTGAGGCCAGATGGGGACAGGAATAGTCCCTGGGTCATCTCTAATTTATGCTCTTCTTAAAGACCCCTCTATGGCCCATTAAAGCAGCCCGGAATAGCCAGAGCAAACTGTACTCTGGCCACTCTCCTGCCTGCCCCAAATATACCTTGCTTTTTACTACCCCAGCCACTTCGCTGTCATGCCCCTACATCAGGGACTTCAAGGGGATGGGCACCACAGGGAACTCCCATATGCCACAGGCATTCCTGAGCGAGAAAATCTGCCAGCCCTGAGGCCCCTATATACTGGCAGAGCTGGTGTACAGGGACAGCAGGGAACCCCAGAATCAGGGCCTTTCTAAAGATGCCTCAGATCAGGACATTCTTAACTAGTGAACATGAACAATGTTTATACAATAACACTATCCATCTTAGATATTTATAGGACACCAAGGCAACATCTAGGCACAACACTAATAAACTTATATGTTCAAAGCACTGTACAAACATTCACTAATTTATCATCACAGCATACCTGGCCTTGTCTCCACTAGCCTTTTCTCCTAATTTTTTCCACCACTGCTAACCCCGGTGGAGCTCCACCAGTGGTAGAAACAGCTGGAGCTCTAGGGAACAGAAGGCACCAGTGGCTGCCACTATTGCATTTTTACTACCATGTCATCTACTAGACTTGTTCTGACCAGGGCTAGAAAATACAATAGTAAAAATGCTGGTGCCATATCCTTACTGGATCTCCTACCATTGCTACCTCCAATGAAACTGCATCCGAATTAGTAATAGTGGGAAATAGGCAAATGTAGACACAGTCCATTGTGAGGCAGGTAGCTAGATAACTCTTATTATCTCCACTTTATACATAGGGAAACAGCAGCACAGAGAGGTGTGTGATTTGCCCAGTACCTCACAGTGAGTTAGGGAAGGAGCTGGGATTCAAACCCAAATTTCCCGGCTGTGTCTACAGTCCAACTGTTCCCCAACTAAAGTGGCTCAACACTACCACTCACCTTTGAAGGTTTTTCCACCACTGTTTTAATTCACCCTTTGAACAGTTAGGATACTACTCAACATGCAAAAATGAATTGTTCTCCAGGAGCCCCCATCTCTCCTCCTTTGGTCTGGCCTTCTCCATGCTAACAGAAACCTTTGTCCATATCGCCCTAAACATGTTCTCTGATACCCAGGCAGGGATGAAGGGGGAACAGTTCTGGATCTCACCATTACAAGACTATTTTCAGTGCCCTGAGCAACATGGGAAGAAGGGGCAGAAGCATGAGGCAGACATACCATGCGAAAGATGGAGATGGTATTGCTCGTGATGTTATAATGAGACAGGACCTCAGGGTTGGTACTGAGTCCAAACGGCACCTCCTGGATTTTTCCTACAACAATGTGGAAGTTCGAAACTTCTGGCCTCTCTAATTCCTGAAGGAGTGGGAGAGAGAGTGGAAAAGGAGAAGGAAGACGGAGACATGGAGGGAAGGAGAGATGGACAAGAAGAGAGAGAAAGGGCATGGTAAAAGGAGAGAGAAGGAGAAAGAGAAGAGAGGCAGTAGGTGGGGGGAAAGGAGGAGAGGTAAAGAAAGAGAAAATAATATTAGAAGCAGCTGAAGTTACTCACCCAGGTTTTCTTCTCCCTCTTGACATTGGCCAGACAGCTACTTTGGCAGCAGCTGAGATTTGGAGGGGCTAACAGTGACATCTGGTGGCTGCTCAGAGTAGAGCGGGTGTAAGCACTCTGCCACTCTAACCTCCAAGTCTAAAGCGAAGAGGGGCTTCCTTACCAGGCACAGCTCAAGTCTCCCCACCAGAACATGTGTTCCCAATCCACTTCCCCGCATCCCACTCACATCCTGCCTGGGTATTTCCAGCTGTGTGCACATCAGTGTGGGGAAGGCGAAAGCTTGAGGGTTAAGAAGTGACTGAGTGTCAGGGGCAGGGAATTGGGGAGGAGTCAGGGAACCTGTACTGAAGGTCAGGGAGGGGCAGGTGAGCTGATGGGGTTCAGGGAGAGGGAAGTGGGAGTCAGGGAGACTGTTGGGTATCAGAGGGAGCTGAAGGGTGAAGGGACTGCAGAGGGCTTGAAAGTGTGTTGTATCTGAATCTAAAATCTGACTGTCTGAGGAGTGGGCACTGGGAGAAAGTTGTGGGGGGGGAGGGGCTGGATCTTTTAGCACCATCCATTTCCTCCTCCTCAGTAATCAGCATAATCATTCTCCTTCATGTTTATTCTCTGTTCACCCCCACACACCATCCCCTGCACAGCGATATGACTGTGTGTGTATGAGTGTAAAAACAGGTCCTGCAACCTAATCCTCTTTACCCCATACTCTTCCTCCTCATCAGCTTCTTCCTTCCCTTGTTTCCACGACATTGTAGGGAAAGTCTCCCTCTTTCCCTACCTCAAGCTTCCCGGGCAACAACTCGAAAGGATTGGAAGGAAACAAATCACAGAGTCTGTGTGGCCAACTCTCGCAGTTTTTTCACAAGTCTAGCAATATTTGGTGTTTTTCTCAAAACACCAGCTCCTGGAGTCCTGTGATGATGTGAGAATCTCAGCTTCCTTTAAAAAAAAAAATCATTTCTAGCCCTCATGGTTGCAAAGAAAATCTTGAAACGTGAACCCTAAAGGCTCAAAGACTGCAAAGTAGATTAAAAGAACCTTAATGTATTTTTTTAATTTTGTGATTTTTAAGCTGATCTCATGATTTTTGAGGCCTGACTCATGATTTTTGAATACTTGGGGGTGGCAATACTTAATATCTTTATTTTTTCCCCTAATGGAAATATTTCACATACTTCCACTAAAAAGTGACCAATAAGTGTGGGTTAAAATACCCAAACTTTGAAGAAGTCCGGACATGTGCAGCTTCTGAGCAATGTTGGATTAATCAAATTTCCGTTTCTTCTTCTTACAGCTGAGCAGTAGGGACAGTCATAGCCTCAACTTAAGCTTGTACAGCCATTTCCATTCCAACCCCGCCTTTTGAGTGCCTGACATCTAATACCTTTCACTGATGATTGGACAGAAATTCTCAAGGCCTGGTCTCTGCCTGAAGGTGATTCTGTTCTTTCTTTAATTAAGAAAAATTTAGAGCAAAGTTGGTTCATCTGTTTGGGATTCTGAGGAGAACAGAAAAAAAAAATCCTTTCCACATTTAAAGAAAAACTATTCTTATGACCTGTTTTGGAACAGATATAGTCAGAACCATCCCTTGGGTAGGGCGAATCGGGGCAACCGCCCTGGGCCCTGTGCTTTGGGGGCCCCGTGCTTCGATAAAATTGTCCTGATATTTAGCCCTTTGTCCTGCGTCCCAACAGATGTACGATTGGGACACCATTTGTCCTGATATTCAGGTGAGGAGGCGGGGGGGAGGTGAGGCGGGAGGTGGGCGGGTGAGAGGGGTGAGGAGGCGAACGGGGAGGCGAGCGGCAGGCGGGCGGGCAGGCGGTAAGGAGCGGCAGTCAGGTGAACGGGAGGACGCCGGGCGGATGGTGAGGAGACTAGCGGGGAGGTGAGTGGTGGGGCAGGTGGGCGGACAGTTAGGAGGAGAGCGGCGGCCACACACGCTGGGCAGACAGTGAGGAGACTAGCGGGGAGGCTGATTTGTCTGAGGCCCCGCAGTCCCCTAGGGACGGCCCTGGATATAGGATCGAAATGGCTAGCTGAAACAAGGCATGGAACTAGCCTCACTGAGAGCTTGGGAGGATTCCAGTGAAAAATTGGGTTTGATTTGGGTCTGTGGCCCTCACATTTCTCACACCTCCAGGGCATGTGCAGTGATAGTACTCTTTTCCCCAAAGACAGCATAATGTTCTGAGAGAAGGCAGGGTGTGTGCTGCATTTGTGTGATGCTAGTTCAGCTGCATGCTCAAAACCAGACTGAAGGTTTGTAGAGAAGAAATATGTCTTACTGTGTGCAGTGAAGCCCAGCCTCACTCAGGGTGAAATTAACCTCTGTGTGCAGCTGGTCAATGCAAGCCCTAGGCCCCACTTAAGAACTAGTCTGAGAGCTGAGCCAGGACGTAAGTGGTGCTTAGGCCTCCCGCTGGCCCTCCGCACAGGAATCACTTTCACCGTATGTGCACCCCTTGTACTAGGAGTGCCAAAAGAGAAGACCCCAAGAAAATTCTGCGACACTATAGTCTGAGAAGGTAGCGCTTGTGTGGTAGACACTCAAACAGCAGAAATCATCAGTTCCGTTTACACACCCAGCCGTAACTCTGCCCCCTTGTGAATCACCTTTCGTTACATGGGCATGTATTATTTCTGAAATTAGTGAGTCTTCCCAATGAACCGGTCATGGGGAGTCCTTTCTAGCCCCCCACCTCCTCCAACCAGAGGAACATGTGGGCTAGAGGAGGTAGAAGCTCCTGGGAAGCAGTCTGTTTGGAGAGCACAACGCTTCTCTCCCTGACAAAAGCCATGAGCCAAGGAAGCAACAGCAAATTAGTGGGGCTGGCAGGAGGAACCTTTGGAACCTTAGACACCAGTGATATCATTGGGTTCTACTTCCTTCTGTTCTTACTCTGGGTGTTTTGTTGTCCTTCTTGCTGATTGGTTGCTTGCTTAAGTCTCCTCCCTCACTGTCATAGAATCGTAGATATGTAGGGCTGAAAGGAACTCCGAGAAGTCATCAAGTCCAGCCCCTGCATTGTGGCAGGACCAAGTAAACCTAGACCATCCCTGACAGGTTTTTGTCCAACTTGTTTTTAAACACTCCAGTGATGGGGACTCCATGACCTCCCTTGGAAGCCTATTTCAGAGCTTAACTATCCTTATAGTTAGAAAGTTTTTCCTAATATCAAACCTAAATCTCCCCTGCTGCAGATTAAGCCCATTACTTCTTCTCCTACCGCCTGTGGGCATGGAGAACAATTGATCGCCATCCTCTTTATAACAGCTCTTAACATATTGGAAGACTGTTATCAGGTTGGCACTCGGTCTTCTTTTCTCAAAACTATACAAGCCCAGTTTTTTCACCCTTTCCTCATAGGTCAGGTTTTCTAAACCTTTGATCATTTTTGTTGCTCTCCTCGGGACTCTTTCCAATTTTTCCACATCCTTCCGAAATTGTGGTGCCCAGAACTAGACACAGAACTCCAGCTGGGGTCTCACCAGTGCCAAGTAGAGCGGGACAATTACCTCCTGTGTCTTACATACAACACTCCTGTTAATACACCCAAGAATCATATTAGCCTTTTTTGCAGCTGCATCACATCGATGACTCATATTCACTTTGTGGTCCACTATAACCCCCAGCTCCTTCTCAGCAGTACTACCACCTAGACAGTTAGTCCACATTTTATAGTCATGCATTTGACTTTTTCTTCTTAAGTGAAGTACTTTCCACTTGTCTTTATTGAATTTCATCAGTGCAGTGAGGGTCCTGCAGAGGGTCCCTCCACTGCAGTCTTGATCCCCCTGCCTGCCATTCTCCATTATTCCCCTGCCTTCCATTCTCCATTAACCCCCTGCCTTCCATTCTCCATTAAGGTCCTTTCTGGCCTTAAATTCTGTGACCTATGCTCCCCTCCATCCTTCCCTCCATTCCACCTCAATATTTCCCTTCTTCCACTTCATACTCCTGTACTCCTTAGCTCACCCCTCCATGTCCCCCCCTTACTGCATCCCCCACTATGGAGTTCACAGGATGTTTACCCCTTCGCCCTGATCACTCTGCTTGTTTGTTATATCCCCTCCCCTTCTGCCCAGGTCTGTCTGTTCTATTTAGATTGTAAGCAGTTTGAGTTGAGGACTGTCTTTACTCTGTGTTTGTACAGCACCCAACACAATGGGGCACCAATCCCGGTGGAATACAAGTAATCAATAGCAACGTAACCAGGGAATTGAGAGATTATCTGAACAGACCTGGAAGAATCCAATGACGGCCACCTCAGCAGCACTGATGAAGGCTGTTGTGGCTGCAATATCTCTCAAAAGCACAGGTTTCTTTGCGTCTCCAGTGACATCTGGAGAGAGCATGAGGAGGAAATGTCAGAATCATATCAGGCATGGAAAGCAGCCCAGAGCTAAGAAACCCACCACCACCACTACCACACACATGCACACCCGACCTTCCTTCCTCTGTGCATGCTGATCTCAGCAGATCTCTTCCCCCTCTGGATACTGACAGACCTCTGTGAGAAGATTTGCAGCTCACACCCCTTCATCCACTGTACACGCTGACCCCAGTGGCTCTCTCACCCTTAGAGAGCCTTGGATTTCTCTCACCCACCCCATTCGTTTTCTGGCCTGACCACAGTGTCATTTTCTTACCGTGGGGCGCAGGACTCTCCTCAGCACATCCTGATGGGCAGCCCCAAGTGAGGAGGGAAAAAAAGAGACACCACAAGGCAGAGATAGCCATTGACCTGACGTCTCCTCTCCTTGCCATGGGCTCTGCGTTGGACTCTGCCTGGAAAGGTGACACGTCAGTGGTTTCTTGGTCAGGCGTGGTTCTCCCAACAGTGTGGGAACTGAGCACCTGGCGCTGGTGAAACCTTCAACTTCGGCGATAAAAGTCTGGCAGAAAGACAGGGTCCCAGTGCCTCACTGTTCTGCACAGGTCATGGGGCTGATTCCGAACAATCTGTCCCTGACACCTCAGCACTGAGAGACCACCTGGAGAGAGCAGCGACCTCTGCTGGTCCCACAGAGACATTTCCATGCTGCACACTCTGGAGGGGCACAGGCTGGTGAGAGTACCCCAGGCTGGCACCAGGGAGCAGCTCCAGATGCCCCTTTCCTTTCTTTTCGCCCTGGGCACTCCTCCTCAGTACTCTGCACCCCAACCTAATGAAACTGCCCCCTGCTTATACCAGGGAAGCTGTTTCCCTTTTCTGTGCACTAAGTCCCAGGGGGTCTCCTCCTCCCACTGCACCAGGGCCAATCAGACAGTCTGGCCCCAGCATGGACCACTCCCGGGACAGCTGGTTGTATGGGTGGCATGAGAGACCCATGTCTCTGCTATGGGAGATGAGGAGCTGATGCCTAAAAATTCCATGGAGGCCACATTAAAACAGACTAGCCACATAACATAGGAACACACACATTCTAGACTGGATCAGACCAGTGGGCCACCTAGTCTGGTATCTTCTCTAATAGTGGCCAGTGCAAGAGGCTTTGAAGGAAGCTGCATAAGGGAGCTATGATATAATTTGCCCTCAGGAAAAATTTCTCCCTAAACCCCATTAGGGTGAGGCTGGTTTATGCGCTGAAGTATGAGCGTTATAGCCCTTATGAGACACTTGGGATTTTTTCAGTCCTTTCTCTAACCCTGGATACTGTTTAGCCACATACGATATTGCAATACTATGCATGTGTGAAAGGCGGAGTGAGGAGACATGTTCCACAAAAGAATGAGAGCCTCACTCAGAAGGGAAGAAAGAAACTGACTTTATTCTTGGGACACTGACGTCTTTACATGTCATGGCAGCTAATTGAATCTCCTTGACTGGTTTTGCCTTTAAAGGCAGGACTATGATTTGGGCAACAGACAAATATAAGAGGACCATAATGGGATCAGCCTTTTACAGTGAGCACAAGGCAGAAATAACACCGTGGAGGACCATTTAGGGGGGCAATTCGCCCTGCCATGAGAGTTGTAGAGCTGGCAAGATGATTGCGTTCCCTCAAAAAGGCACTTCAGAGACCTGATTTGGAGCAAAAGAGGGACCAGCAGGGAGAGGGATTTTTCCCAATTTAACCCCTCATGTGTCACGACAGCTCTGGGTGGGTTATTTTCAGTGTAGCTGCAGGAAATGCAGAGGCTGTCCGTGGGCCAGTGCAAAGACCTGCTTTTAACAGAATCTCCTGTGGCAGGAAGGAACAAGGGTTAGGAGGGTTCTGGAATCCCTTTGTGGCAGTAGGGGGCAGCATGGTGTGCGGGTCCAGGGCGTGGCACTCCTGGTGACTAGTGCAGTAGGCAGGGGAAGGAGGGAGAAGGCAGCTTGCGTGACCTCACTCTGTCCACTCCTTCTTAATGGACAGATTCCACTCCCAGGTGAGATGGTCATGCTTGTCATCATCAGTGAAGAAGGACTTGTTGTGATAGGTGCCCCGAGCCAGCATGCCCTTGGGTGCTTCCTCAATAGGTGTCAGGAATTCGTACTCCTCCGGCCGTGGCCCATAGCTGCCAACCATGAATGTAGCTTTATCCACTAGGAGTAAACAATCCACAGGGGAAGAGCCCATGAGGAGGGAAGTAAACAAGAAGAGGAAAGGCTGGGTTCATGAGTACGGATCACACCGGAACTGAGGCCGGCATGAGGGGGAGAGGGCAGAGGCAGGGAGCGGATAGACTCACTGAATGAAGTGATGCGAGATTTTGTGCAGAGGTCTATATATAGAATCTATGTGTGGAATGAGGATCTCCCTCGGGACAGCCCAAGCGGGGCTGTGTGTGTACAAAAGGAAGAGGGCTCTTTATACGATTGGAAGCGCTGTGGGGTAGTGCAGAAAAAGGGTGTTTTTGCCTGTGTCCGTTGAATGCTCTGTATAGAATGGGAAATTCTGAGAGGGTGGGGAGGGCCGGCTATGTATATAATAGAAACCTGTGTGATGAGTGGTGTACCCATGACTGTTTCTGTGTCTGTGGAAGGCTCAGTGTAGGATGAGAGCCTTTGGAAGGGGCTCTTTGATCTGGGGGATCTCTCTATAGGATGGGAGAATCTGTGTGCAGGGTTGGGAGTGCATGTGAGGGATGGTGTGTTTGGGAGGAGAGGGGGTTCTCTCTTACTCACCCTTCACCCCTGTCCGGTAGGTATGCTGCACATATTTCAATCCAGACACAATGTCCCTATTTACCTGCAAGAGGAAGTGATCATGGATGAGTCTAATGAGGAGGGTCTCAGTGCAATCTCTGCTGCTCTCCTCCCCTCAACCACACACAGACATTCTTGTCCCAGCTCCCCCATGCCACTACTCTCCTCCTTCCCTGTGCTGGACAGGGCGGGACAGGCCTCAGGGCCCAACATGGAGCAGACATTGCTGAGGGAAGCCTGGCATTTCTCAATAGCCAGAGATGAGTTTTCACGCAACCTGGATACTTGTTTCTCTAATGTGCATCAGAGCTCCTCTTCTCCTTGCCCAAGCCCCACAGGTTAACCAGTCTCTCAGGAGGCACTGCAGAGAGGATTGGGGGAAGGCTGAATGCAGGAGAAGCGCAAGGTTCACAGTTGAGCATTCCCATGTTAAACCCCAGAGCCAGCTGACTGGAGTCATGCATTCTGCACTCAGAGATGGGGAAAGTCTAGGGTAAGACTAACTGAGCTCACTCCTTCACCTCTAGGACTGAAGGAGACTGGGATCACTGAAGGGGTGGCAAGCTCATTCCCAGGATATGGAGGGAGATGGTTTGACTTGTTAGTTAGCTAGTGTAGACACAGCCCCAGTAATCTCAATATTCCCCAGGAGAGTCACAGCCTGGCTGCATCCCTTGCTTCTCACAGTCTGGACACACTGTGCATTATTAAATCTGAAAACACAGCATGCTCCTTCACATCCCAGGGTTCAGTTTGCTGTGCCTACAGTGATCCCAATCCTGGCCAGCCCTGGGAGCCGGAGAGAGAGTTAAGATAACTAGTCTGGCCCTATCCCAGCAGCAAGGGTGGGAAATTTAAGGAAACATTTCCTAGCATAAAGAAGGCTTGGGTGTCACGCTGGGGGTGCCTTTATCTCTAGGCCTGTGTGCAATAGAGCTGCGTGAAAATGGTGGAAAATTTGTCCACATTAACGTTTTCACTCTTTCAGTTCAGGTGACTGAACATCTCTCAAATTTTGCTTTTCTGCAAAATGCAGCTAATTTTGTAACAAAAACTTGTAAAGATTAATGTGTCTGCTTTGCATGCCACCTTGCTCTTTGAATGCACCCCATTTTCAACAGGAAACAGGTGAAAATGGCATGAAACGCTGTTGACATTTTTGGCAATGTGAAACCATTTGGGAGGGCATAACACAATGCAGAAAATCTCAGATTCGGTGTAGTTTTGTCTTTTGCTGCAACTATTTTACCCACCACTAGGTGCTTGGGAAGCCCAGCAACACTCAGCAGATCAGCTTCACAGGGCTTCATGGGAAGCTTTTTTTTCCAGCTTTGGTTTGTGTGGAATCAAATTTTGCTTTGAGTCCCAAAAACTGAAAGCAAAACTCAGTCACAGCTACTGAGTTTCACATAATGACATGTATGAACCATTTCCAAGCATGAATTTTGACTGGTTTCCATGCAACCTCCAGTTCACCACCTGCTTCATCAGGTTCACACAACAGGCTTACAAAGGTTAGTAAGCCTTTAGGTGCACCTTTAGGTGGTTTGTAACAATACCCAAAATCAGTTAAGTTTTACATGGTTCAGAGCATCACTTCCAACATTTTGCTCAGCTCTAGTTATCTGTGATGACTGGCTGGTAACTGGAGTGAGCACTGAGCAACCTATGGGAAGCGACCAGAGGGAAAGTGACTCACTTTGAAGTGGATCTTAACTCTGTATTCAACTCCTTCCTTTAGTACAAATGTCTCTTTCTTCAGCGCCGCAACGTCCCCTGTAGAGAGAGAATCAGACAGATAGTTAGTACTGCCACAAAGAGAAGAAACCAGACTCTCTTCCAGGGAATGGATGTGCCCTCCCATCATCTTTTTCTATAGCGCACCTGTGAAATGTGTATGCAGGTGTGTATATGCAAGCTGCTTTATGAGTGTGCGTAATACATACAGGTGCGTGCATACATACGGGTGCGTGCATATCCGTGTGTGTATGCAGGTATGTGCATGCATACACATACATGCTCCTCTTCATACACAAAAACAGAGCATGGTTGTGTATATACATTCATGTGCACGCTTGTGTGTGTGTGCACATGCATTCTCAAGAGGCATGTGTGTGTGTGCAGATACACTAATGAGAGGCACACATGTGTATGCAGTTGTGTTTTGCCCTCCTGTTACTCCAGTGAACCAGGTGCATAGCATGGCCCCCATGCACGTTAGCTGTTTCACTCATGTGGAGTCCCTGGTTCCAGTAAGAGGGAGTAGAGGCTGGGCATGTCTCGTCTGGAAACTCAGTTGGGCTGCACAGTGTTTAAGATGAATGGCTTTGCAATGCTGTACGTGCGTGCTGGGGATTTCAGTTGAACAGGAAGTATCAATGCCTTGCCAGTCCTGACTTCCTCTCTCTGATAAGAAGCCCATATAAGGTGAAGCATGACTCTCTCACCATGTACCCTGAAGCCGGAAGTGCAAGGTTGCTTGACACTGCCATTTCAAAATGGCCTATTACTCTAACATGTACTTATATCTTGTGCTGGTAGGAGCTAGCTAGGTAGAAATCAGAACATGTGCCTTTCCCTTTGTACAGGGAACTCTAAGACTTGCAATTCTTAGAGATTTCCAAGATCTTCT